ATATGGTCTAAAGAAGTAAAATAAACAACCCTGAGCCTAAAGGACAATAGGCTATTTTTTAAAATAAATTATTTAAAAAGTTCAAAAAATAATCAGAGAATCTTCCCTTTACCAAATTGAATGCAGTGTAATTTTATTGACCAGACATAAATATTTTATATATAAGGCTTTTTTCATAGTATAAAAAGTTATTTACAATTAGTTAATGGGAACAACAGTCGAGATATAAGATAGTATGATTATCTTCCAGTAATATATATGAAAAATCATTGATTTCAATTCTTTCTATTGACTGTAAAATATAATTTTTAATTAAATCTATTGATGTTATTAATTTTTTTATCTATTTTTAAATTTCTTAATTTCATCTTAATTTCATCTTCTTCCTCCTTTCAATGTTTGCAATTACCTTGTCTCCGGAGAGAGTTATGGCTACCCAAAAACCCTAGACAGGAAGCTCTTAAGCCTCAAGTAAGAAAAACTTAGCCATTTTCCGATTTATTAATAAAAAATGGTTTAGAACTCGGATTTATTAATTATAAATATAATTAATAAAAAGGATCAAAGTTGAAGCCTAACAACATTGACCATAAAGCTGTTAATAAATTTAATTGAAGTCTTTTCACTTTGCATAAGTCAATTTTAAATCAATTCTGCAACCTGGCATTAATTTGTTGTATGGTAAGGAGGCATGTCGGTCTAGATTTTATTTGATGCTTAATTCTAAAGTTAAACTTAATATGCAGATAAAATTTATAATTAATAATCTTATTTACCAAACCCCAAGTCACCAATTGGCATATTACCCCCACCTCCCTTGAGATTTGAGTTTATTCTGACACCCACAAGTTAAAAAGATTATCCCTAACCTCCCCTCAAAGGGCTCAAGCCTCCTCTCTTCACCGTTTGCTAATAGAATCCTTTAGATTTGTTGTATTTTCCTCAAAGTAAAAGTACTCTAAAACCTCCTAAGTATATAGATAACAAAAAACCCCTAAAGTATATAGGTTTACTCTCTCTCTTTCTCTCTCTCTCTCTCTCTCTCTCTCTCTCTCTCTCTCTCTATATATATATANAAAAAAAAAAAAAAAAAAAAAAAAAAAAAAAATGGTGATAGAAAGAGTTCCATAGTTTTCAAAACGTATATCAAATGAATAAAAGACAAAACGAGTACGTCCAGAATCAAAATTCTCTTTTTTTTTTGAGCAACGTTTTATTTACTATTTAAGAGTCTAATTTTTGTTTTGATAAAATTTACTTCTTGTTTCTAATTTTAAATTTTTTTCTCTGAATCTGATCTTTTTTCACAAATTGAATCGAGTTCGAATAATATGAAAACATAATATAATCCATTTTTTATCTAGATAAGACGGAAACCTAGATCCCCAAAGGTTGAAGTCGAAAAAAGGTATGATGAGCCTTTTAGTTTATGCCTCCCCCTTTCACTTTCGTATTTAAGTTAATTGTTTAGAAAAGCCATATCTAGTTGATTTTTTCCATATCTAGTTGATTTTCAAACTTTCAGTTTCGTAATTGCTTTAAGTTGAAGAACAAAAAGCGGAAGTGTCGCACTCCGAATCAAAAGAGTAGTCACAACTATGGAAGCCCACCTGATAAAATTAATAATGGATACACACAGACAAAAGAGAGAGAAAAAAAATCCATGGCATCTCATAAAGACCTTGCTAGTACTATAAACTAAATAAGAAAATATGACATATTGCATTTTCAAACAGCATATTCTTTAGCTATAAATTTATTTTATTAAAGGAGCAAAATCCAACATATTCCACATGAACATTAAACTAGCTCAGATTATCATTGGTCACAAGAACATAAGTCATACATTAAATAATTATTTAAAAAGTATTAACATTCTTAGGGCATCTCCAACCCAACATTATTTTGGTGTAAAACACCAAAATAGTGTGGAAATTTTGCTCTAACCCAACACAAAAAACCACACCAAATTAGTGTGAATGAATAGTATCACATCAAATTTAGTGTAATATTATTCATCTGCACCAATTTGGTGTGATACTATTCATCTATTACAAAACATATTTTATTTCCTTATTTTTGTTCTTTATTTTTTTTAATTTGTATTTATACTAATTTGATTAATATTTATAATAATAAATTCATAATAATTATATAATTAAAAAAATGATGAAAAATTAAAAACAAAACTTCATTCAATACAAATATTAAACTACAATAACTCAAAATAAATTAATACTAATTTAAAAACACTAAAATTAAAAGAAAATAAAACATAAACTAAAATAACAATTTAGTATTCCGATAGATTAGTTACGGATCCTCTAGGTCATCAAAATATTCGAAAGAACTAGAGCTATTTTGAGATCCTTAACCTTGTTGTTGAACTCTTTTTTTCATAATTTTTGAAAATTTTCTTTCTCGACATAGACAAATCAAAGATACGGAGGCTCAACAATCAACATGCTCTTCAAAATGCATTAATTGATCATTTATGGGAAGAATATACTAATTTGGAAAATTAAATTACTATCACTATGAAATTTTACTTTTGTGTTTTTTTTTTTTTTTTTGGCATTTTATATTAGATGTATTTTTTTTTATATTAATTGTAATGTTTATTTGATTAAATAAATGTTTGATTTTATTAAATTAGTATCATTTTCAAAGTTATTTTTATTTAATAAAAATATCATTCCCAATATTTAATTGATTTATACAAAAATAATTTGTGAAATAAATTAATTTTTGATTATTAACAGAAAGAAAATATACTAAAAAATATTCTTTTCGGTATAATATTTGGTGCAATAGATTGGAATGCAATAGTAAAATACACCAAAAATCACACTAATTTGGTGTGAAAGTTGCACCAATTTGAAGTTTGTGGTTGGAGATGGTCTTAAGGCATCTCCAACCCAACACCATTTTGGTGTAAAACACTAAAATGGTGTGGAAATTTTGCTCAAACCCAACACCAAAAGCCACGCCAAACGGTGTGAATAAATAGTATCACACCAAATTTGGTGTAATACTATTCATCCGCATCAATTTGGTGTGATACTATTCATCAACTACAAACATATTTTATTTCCTTATTTTTCTTATTTAATTTTTTTAATTTGTATTTAAATTAATTTTATTAATATTTATAATAATAAATTCATAATAATTATATAATTAAAAAAATGATGAAAAATTAAAAACAAAACTTCATTCAATACAAATATTAAACTATAATAACTCAAAATAAATTAACACTAATTTAACAACACTAAAATTAAAAGAAAATACAACATAAATTAAAATAACAATATGGAATTTTACTTTTGTATTGTTGTTGTTTTTATTTTTAGTGGCATTTTATATTAGATGTATTTTTTATATATATTAAATGTAATGCTTATTTGATTAAATAAATGTTTAATTTTATTAAATTAGTATAATTTTCAAAGTTATTATTATTTAATAAAAATATCATTCCCAATATTTAATTAATATATACAAAAATAATTAGTGAAATAAGTTAATTATTAATTATTAATAGAAAGAAAAAGAAAAAAATATTTTTTTTAGTATAATATTTAGTGCAATGGGTTAAAGATGTAATAGTGAAATACACTGAAAACCACGCCAATTTGCTGTGAAAGTTACTCTAATTTCATATTTGTGGTTGAAGATGGTCTTAGCGTGCATTTCATTCGAGTATAAACTAAACAAATGCAAATAGTTCCTTACCAGTTAAAGTCGGTGAAGTTATGCACTATATCAATAAAATGCTGCAATGCTACGATAGGTAAGAAAGAATCAGCAGCAACAGCAACAACTTCATTCACCGTTGGGACTTGGTTGGCAACCGCTTGTATAGTTGTATCCTTCAAAACCTCTGCCATATCACCCATTGGTTTAATGTTCTCCGATGCTTCATGACAGTACTTGACATATAACAACAATAAGCAGAACCTACACTTGGCACAAGAACATATCGCGAAATTCTTTTACCGGGGAACAAACCATCGGATCCATATTAATCGTTGAAGCTGCTTTCAAAGAACCTTGGCTGAATGAAGTTACGATCTTTTTGTTGAGACAAAGTTTCATTAGGAGTGATCAGGAGGAATGTAGCTAATTGAGGGACTATTAGCTCGAGCAATAAGCGTTGCTCTGGTCGAGAGGCTACAATGATAAGCCATTGTTACAGAAACTAGAGCTCCTCTACCAGAAGTGCAAAACATACAAATTTGTTGAAAAAGAGTTTGTTTGCTATTTGTTGACCTAGTCTTTTGGGAACTTGTTGTGTTCAACAAGTTAGCTTTTTTCATTTACCTAGTCTGTAGGTGTTAGTTTTGCCACGTTGTGTAGTGCCTATTTTCTTGCTTTTATTCGTTATGTATAAGCCTATATAAAGACAGTTCTTTTGTTGAATAAACATAGAGACAATAACTTTCTCCTATTTACTTTTGTTCTTTAGTTTTTATTAAAAGCATGTCCTCTTTTACTTGTTTTAGCAGAAACACTACCTTTTCTCTTCTTTATTTGTAACATTGGTATCAGAGCCTGGTAGAGAGAAAGAGAGTGAGAAAAGTAAAGTTGAGAGTGCCAAACAAAACAAAAAAGAGAGTGTGTGGGATAGAGTTGTAACAGCAGCAGCTTCATTTCTATTTCACCTAGTTTCTTGTTTTTGCAGCAGCAGCAGTAGAAGAGAACGATGGCCTCTGAAACTTTTATGCAGCCAGCCATTCCACGTTTCGATGGTCACTATGACTATTGGAGCATGCTAATGGAGAATTTTTTTAGATCAAAGGAGTATTGGCATATTGTTGAAGTTGGAGTAGCAGAACCAGTAGCAGGCACCATACTAATGGTCCAGCAGAGAACTAATTTGGAAGGGAAAAAGTTGAAGGATCTCAAGGCAAAGAACTATCTCTTTCAAGCGATTGATTCGTTTAATCTTGGAAACCATTCTTTGCAAGGACACCTCTAAGCATATTTGGGACTCCATGAAGAAGAAATTTATGGGGACAGAAAGAGCAAAGCGAGTTCACCTTCAAGCACTTCGTGCTGAATTTGAAGCTCTCCGAATGAAGACAGGTGAATCAGTTTCAGAATACATTTCGAGGACGATGACAATCACGAACAAGAGGCAAATTAATGGAGAAAAGCTCGAGGATGTCACCATAGTTAAAAAGATTCTTCGATTCCTGACAGCAAAATTTAACTATGTTGTTTGTGTGATTGAAGAATCAAATGACATTGACACACTCTCCATTGATGAGCGACAAAGCTCCCTACTTGTCCATGAGCAGAAAATTGTCTAGCAGGATAGGGACGAACAAGGCTTACAAGCTGCAATACATCCCAAAGGTTCAAGTCCTAGTAGAGGTAAATGGAAGGACAAAAATGATCATGCTACTGATTCAAAAGGGAAATGGAAAAGCCATGACAACAACTACTCAAATGGCTATAAATCGAATTCTGTAAACAAGTCGAAAGTTGAGTGTTTTCGATGTCATAGGTATGACCATTATAAGTTTGAGTGTCGAACTAATTTGAATAAGCAATGTGGAGAAAGATCTAATTTTGCAGAGAAAGAAGAAGTTGTTTCCCTCTTGATGGCGTGTCATGCGAATCAAGGCACCCACCAAAACTTGTGGTATATAGATATTGGCTACAGCAATCATATGTGTGGGGACAAGTCAGCGCTCTCAGACTTGGATGAAACATTTTGCAACGCTGTAACTTTTGGCGACAACTCTAAAGTTTCTATCATAGGCAAAGGAAGTGTACGAATTCACTCCAAAGAAAAATATGATCAGATTATTTCTAATGTCTTTTTTGTTCCAAATTTAAAAACCAACTTGCTTAGTGCTGGTCAGCTTCAAGAGAAGAGATACGAGATTTTTATTTAAGATGGAGTTTGTCGCATCCAAGATGAGAAATTAGACTTAATTGCTCAAGTCAACATGACTACAAATCGAATGTTCCCACTGTATCTAGACAACACTACTCAGAATTGTTTCTCTGCAAAATTGATGGATGAGGGATGGTTGTGGCATTTTCGCTATGGACATCTGAATTTTGGTGGTCTAAAGACACTACAACAGAAGAACATAGTGACTAGACTTCCACAAATTCAGACTCCTTCTCAAATTTGTGAAGAATGTGTTGTTGGTAAACATCATCGAGATCATTTTCCTAAAGGAAAATCATGGAAAGTGAAGAAGGTGTTGGAGCTAGTTCACTCTGATATAAGCGGACCCATTAATCCAACATCGAATGGTGGTAAACGTTACTTTATAACACTCATTGATGATTATAGTTGGAAAACTTGGGTTTATTTTTTGCAGGAGAAATCTGAAGCTTTTTCAACTTTCAAAAGCTTTAAGATGCTGGTCGAAAAAGAAGCAGGCAAATCTATTAAGATTTTTCGTAGCGATCGTGGTGGAGAATACACCTCACACGAACTTGTAAATTTTTGTGAGAACCATGGTATTCAAAAGCAACTTACCGCAGCATATTCGCCAGAGCAAAATGGCATTTCAGAGAGGAAGAACCGTACAATTCTAAACATGGTGCGGACTATTCTGTCAAAAGGTCATATCCCAAGAAGTTTTTGGCCTGAAGCAGTCATCTGGAGCATTCACATTTTGAATAGAAGTCCCACTCTAGATGTTCAAAACATGACACCTAAAGAGGCATGGAATGGACGCAAACCAGGTGTCAACCACTTCAGAATCTTTGGTTGCATACCATATGCTCATATTCCAGATCAAAAGAAGAAAAAGCTTGATGACAAGGGAGAAAAATGCATTTTTCTTGGTGTTAGTGAGATGTCAAAAGCATACAAATTGTACAATCTTATCATCAAGAATATTGTCATTAGTCGTGACGTAATTTTTTATGAAGAAAGATTCTGGAAATGGGATGAAAACACTACCAAACAACAAATACAAGCTGATTTTGATGGTGAAAATGAAGAAGAAAGGCAGCAACCCTTACAACAACAAATTCCTGCAATTTATGTACCTGAAATTTCACCAAATGAAGCTCCAACTTCAGCTGAAACTTCACCACTAGTAGTAGAATCTGATGAACATGTTGATGCAGCAGCAAGTTCGTGTTCCCAGCGTGTTAGAAAGAGGCCAGTATGGATGCAAGATTATGAGGTAATTGGGATTGATCAATCTAAGGATCCATTTACTCATTTTGCTCTATTTTCAGATTGTGATCCTACAATTTTTGAAGATCCGTCAAAGAATCGAAATGAAAGAAGGCAATGGATGATGAAATTATTGCCATTGAAAAGAACAACACATGGGAGCTGACTGAACTTCCTAAAGGGCACAAGACTATAGGTGTCAAGTGGGTTTACAAAACAAAGTTGAAGGAGAATGGAGAAGTTGACAAGTACAAGGCGCGCTTGGTGGCCAAGGGCTATAAACAAAAATTTGGTGTTGATTACAAAGAAGTGTTTGCTCCTATTGCAAAGCATGACACAATCAGATTGGTGATTGCATTGGCAGCTCAAAACTCATGGCCTATTTTTCAGTTGGATGTGAAATCTGCATTTCTACAAGGAGACTTACAAGAACAGGTATTTGTTGATCAACCTCCTGGTTATGTGAAGCTAGGTAATGAAATTAAGGTGTATAAGTTGAAACAAGCACTATATGGGCTAAAACAAGCTCTAAGAGCTTGGTATAGCCGTATAGATGCTTATTTTTTTTAAGGAAGGTTTTAGAAGATATCCATATGAGCATACTCTTTTTATTTAAATTGAAGATGGATGAAGTATGTTTTTTGTATGCTTATATGTAGATGATTTAATTTACACTGGAAATGATAGGGCCATGTTTGAAAATTTTAAAAAGTCCATGATGAGTGAATTTGAAATGTCTGATCTTGGAATGCTGCATTATTTTCTTGGCATTGAAGTTGTTCAATCAGCTATTGGAATTTTTATTTCTCAAAAGAAGTATGTGCGAGAAATTTTAGATAGGTTTCGGATGAAGAATTGCAATTAGGTGAATACACCAATTGAGTTTAGTTTGAAGCTAAATAAAGATCATAAAGGAATGGAGGTTGATGGAACTCTTTACAAGTAGATTGTGGGAAGTTTAATGTATTTAACAGCACAAGGCCAGATATAATGTATTCAGTGAGTCTTATCAGCAGATACATGGAGAATCCAACAGAGATGCATTTGCTAGCTGCCAAAAGGATACTACGGTACTTGCAAGGTACTAAGGAATTTGGGTTGTTCTACAAGAAGGGAGAGAAGTCAGACTTGATTGGTTTTACTGACAGCGATTATGCAGGGGATCAAGATGATAGAAAAAGTACTTCAAGCTATGTTTTTATCCTTGGTTCAGGGGTTATTTCATAGTCATCAAATAAATATTCAATCGTCACTCTATCAACTACTGAAGCTGAGTTCGTTGCTGCCAGTTCATGCACATGTCAAGCCATATGGTTAAAGAGAATTCTTGAAGAGCTACATTTCAAGGGACAAAGGCCTACTGCAATTTTTTATGACAACACTTCAGCAATCAAACTCTCCAAAAATTCTATTATACATGGGAGAAGTAAGCACATAGATGTGAAGTTTCACTTCCTAAGAGATCTTACAAAGGCTGGAACCATTGAGCTCCTCTACTGTAGAAGTGAAGATCAACTTGCAGATATATTTACAAAGCCTCTCAAATTTCCTTCGTTTCTGAAGTTAAGAGAATTGTTGGGTGTTTGTGTGCTGGATATTTGAGGGACTTCGGAGTTTTATTTTGTTTTGTTTTTGAATTGTGTATTAAACTGAATGTTTGAACATCAGTTTAAGAAGGGATTGTTGAAAAAGAGTTTGTTTGCTAGTTGTTGACCTAGTCTTTTGCGAACTTGTTGTGTTCAGCAAGTTAGCTTTTTTCATTTACCTAGTTTGTAGGTGTTAGTTTTGGCACGTCGTGTAGTGCCTATTTTCTAGTGTTAGTTTTGGCATGTTGTGTAGTGCCTATTTTCTTACTTTTATTCACTATGTATAAGCCTATATAAAGACAGTTTTTTTGTTGAATAAACATAGAGACAATTACTTTCTCCTATTTACTTTTTTCCTTTAGTTTTTATTAAAAGCTTGTCCTCTTTTACTTGTTTCAGCAGAAACACTATTTTTTCTCTTCTTTATTTGTAACAAAATTAAACATATAAATCAAATAACATTAACATCAAAATGAGAAAAGTAAAAGTAAAATCATTAACAAGTGTTATTCTACATCACAAATAATCAATCATAAACGATTAAAAGAGCTCCTAGTCTTTAAACCCTAAACACCAATTACAATTGAAAAAATAAATTATGAAGCCTCAAAATCAACCAAAAAATAATAAAATTATTAGCTTTATAATTTGGAGAACAAACAAAAAGAAGAAAAACAAATTCAGGTTTAGTTGAAATAATAATCAGAAAATTAAAAGATTTTGATTTTGATAGATTTCTAAAGTTGAAACATTTAAAATTGCAAACACTTACACAAGAAATGCATTTCTATCCGTTTCTGTGTAGACACGAAACGAGTGCTTCTCCACAATGTACTCCGTAGTTTTCTCAAAAATCATATGGTAAAAAGCACAAACCATATATCTGTCTGGAAAAAAAATGAAGCACATGGAGCGCCTTCTGATAAATAAACGAGTACATGAACAACAAAACAAGAATAAAAAATTTGGTACTTTCTCAAAGTTCAGCAAAAAGAAACCTGATGGAGAAGAAGAAGAAGACTAAAACCTACGTTTACATTTTGAGGGAGAGAGGAAGATGAACAGGTTTGTAGTGTGCAAAGGCTCCTTCCCTCCAGTACAAGTAACCACTACAGTGTCAGCGCTGGGCTTTGAGCCAATAAAATTTAACTTTTGTGAAAGATGAAGGATTTGATGGAGACTAGAGCCAAACAGAAACTCTCCAATGAACAACAATATTTATTAGAATAATATGAAGTAATGTGTAACACAAGGCTTTATTAATTCACCACATAATATTTTTTCTTAATAAAAAAATTAGTCAGCAGATGAAACATCACTATGTGTGGATCCTTATTACTGAACTCCTGGTCTTCTCTGTACGGCCTGCAATAGAAATCGGATTTAAATTACAACCTAGCCATGATACTTCCCGTGCGTTTGATTCAGGAAATATTGTATTACGGAAGAATATTGTATTACTGAAAAGATAGATTATCAGAGAATCTTTAGAGAAATATGTTTGGTTGATTAAAATAAATTGATGGGTATGTTATAATAATATGTTTGGTTGGGAGGATAAATGAGTGTGTATGTTATATAGATTACTAAATTGTCTTCCTTTTTAAATAATAATATAATATTATTTTTATTATATTTTATCCTATTATTTTTTAAATTATTTCTTTTAACCTTTTATATTTAAAATTTTACTAAAACAACCCAATCATATAAAACTTTAATTTGTAATAAAATCATCCCCATCCACCCCAAGCCACTGTCGACAACCAGTCACCATCGTCGATAGCCGTCGTAATGGTGCACGATGGGCCGAAACTTTTAACCCCCTAATCCATTAAAAAATTAAAAAAGAAAATCAGAAAAAAGAAAAGACGTTAATTTATTAAAATTGTTTATTAATGTCACTCACACTTTTTTTTTTTGTTTGCCTTGGTTGGTCACATATTAACTAATGTAGTAAAGTATTATTATTTGGTAGTCAACAAGTAACCGTACATAATCTGGTGGAGTTTATATTAAAAATCGGATCTTACCTAGAAAGCACGTCAGTTCTTGACATTAATGTGTTTAGTTAGGATCTTGTAACTTCTTCAAGACATTGGTGCTTGAAAAGTCTCCGATTCCAATTTTGTTGTTTGTTGAAAAATTCGTACACATAAATTTTCTGCAACTTGCCCCTTGGACATGTAGAAAATAAATACGCTTATTCTTTCAGTAGGAAAATGATGTTATGTTAAACAATGGAAATCTAATTCTTTACAAAGTATGACGTTTAATTAAATGCTATAACGTAGTTAACAGTCTAGTTAAGGTCTTTGTCTAATAGGGTTAAAATTATCTTCTTATCGGTGGTTATGTTTTTACAATAAATTTTCATCATTGATCTCCCTTCCTACACACAAAATTTCTACAATTTTGTTGTTTGTTGAGAAATTCTATGCATAAAATTTCTACAAGTTACCCCTTGATTATCTGGAAAATAAATATGTCTATCTTCCACTAAGAAAATATGTTATAACGTAGTTGACACCTCAGTCAAGGTCTTTGTCTAATAGGGTTAAGATTATCCTCTTATGGGTGGTTCTGCTTTTACAACAATTTTTCATCACTTACCTCCCTTTCTACACATAAAATTTCTACAATTTTGTTGTTTGTTGAGAAATTCTACATATAAAATTTATAAAAATTGCCCTTTGATCATGTAGACAATAAATATGTATATTCTTCCACTAGGAAAATGTTATAACTTAGTTGACATCCCAGTCAAGGCCTTTGTCTAATATGGTTAAAATTAACCTCTTATGGGTGATCCTGCTTTTACAACAAATTTTCATCACTGACCTCCATTTCTACTCATAAAATTTCTACAATTTTGTTGTTTGTTGAGAAATTTTACATATAAAATTTCTACAACTTGCCCCTTGATCATGTGGATAATAAATATGTCTATTCTTCCACTAGGAAAATGCTACAACGTAGTTGACACCTTAATCAAAGTCTTTATCTAATATAGTTAAGATTTTCCTCTTAAATATGTTTATTCTTTCACTAGGAAAATGCTATAATATAGTTGACATCCTAATCAAAATCTTTGTCTAATATGGTTAAGATTTTCCTCTTACGAATGGTTATGTTTTTACAACAAATTTTCATATTGACTTCCTCTCTACACATCAAATTTCTACAATTTTGTTGAGAAATTGTAGTCGTAAAATTTCTACAACTTACCACTTATCATGTCATGTAATTAATAAAGAGGATACTAACAAATTAAATGATGGAAGTCTATAATGGCAGCTTTACTTACTTGGAACAATCGAAACTGGGAGAAATGGCAGGCAGCTTCATAGAAACTACACATTTTTGTGAATGGCCACCGATAAGGGAATAATCTAACACTAAATATGTTTCGGCGGTCTACTGAATGCTCAGACAGATTGTACGTCGAGCTGTCTTGTCATTTGAATACCCCTTCAGGCTGTTGACTCCTAAACAACAAGAGTTATGCGATGCCACTTCGGTGCGCAATCCCCATTGCAAACTTGGAAATTGGTGAGCGAATGGCGATGAAAACTAAAATTAGCCAATACATTTTTGTTGATTTATTGGAGAGATCAGTTCATTATTATATTGTAAGTTGTTGAGTGATGGGGTGAAGGAAGATCGCGTATTACCTAGCTGGGTGTTTGTTGTAGTTAATTAAAGCTTAAATTCATAATCCCTGAAGTTTCATGCTCTTCCATATCTTAAGAATCCTCCACGTTCAGCCCATAGTCAAGGAGAAGCCCACCTCCACAAATTGGTACAGCCGAGAGTCCAAGACTGACCCAAATTAAAGAGCTGCTCCATGAAGGCCCATAACTCTTTTTGGTTCTTCTTCATTAAAAGCCTATAGTAGCCCAGCCAAAATAAAATATGAGGGCCCGTGACAGAGACCCAATCCAGGAGCCCAAAATCCTCTCCTTACAAAATCTGCTTCTAGGACAAAACCAACCCAGGCCCAACACCTACTAGGCATTTCACGGAAACATCTGGAGTAGGGGGCTGGTTGAGTCCGCTAATATCCCAAGAGTCTATATATTAATCATTAGAAAGGACTCTCCAAACCTCCTTCTGGGTCAGTTTCTTCCCTTGGTTCCATTGAGCCAGCTCCCTCTTTGTTAAAGCCCATCATCGAGTTCGGATCAGAGTCAACGTCTGTGTCCCCTATCTGAGATCACCATACTGAGATCACCACAAACACAAATCAATACAGACAACAAGATTTTAAAAGAAATCAAGAATCTATTTGAAATTAGGAATCAACACCACTCTTGCGGTTACAGTCGCCGTTAACCATCGAGTCACCTTGGTTACAGCTTTTCTCCATCTGAAACCTTGTAATTAGAGTATCACCTCCATGGCCATTTAAATCATTGAAGAAATAACGTCAAAAATTGCATTTGACAGGAAATAATATAGACGATGAGGAGAGATGTGAAAGAAAGAGATTGAAATGGCCAAACAGGTTTTTGTCAATTTTATATATTGAAGCTCCATGGAGACCCCATCATCAACAAGACGAGTCACCAGGTCACAAACTTTGGCCTTGGCTGCTTCGGCTTCTAACAACAATGATCCCAGTGAGTGATTCGTCTCCAGTTCTCAGGTGTAACCTTGCCATAGCTCACAATCGCTGCATGATGACTTATCTAGAATATTTCTATCATAAACTACTACAACATTCTACATAGTGACATTTTAAACTTTGTACCAGTATGAGTATTAATCACAAAAGTCTACATACAGTAAATACACCCTAATTACCTCTCACGGTCTCCTCTTCTAGTGGGCAAACCCTTTAGTCATTAGGGTTAACTCTGTCCCGACGATCTTGTGTTTGAATTACAAGAAAAGTACCTACCACATTTATACAATTACCTTAGTCCATTGGGTTTATAGGGTGTTCCGTAATCCTGAGGATTAAGCATACTCTAATTTAGGCCTGGATACCTTAGATACCTAAAAAAAATAAAAGAAAAAAATACACACACAAACAATAATTTAGAAAGAAATCTAAGTAATATAACTCCGTCACAAAAGAGAGACAAACTGAATTTGGATAACTAATAAGTAAGCCTGCACTTTAAAAAACAATCACAAAATCCATTGACTAGCCAAGTTCAGCCTTGCAATGAGTGACATTCTTCAACTCCGCCTTCCAATGAGTGACAAAATATATTAAAAATAATAGTTTTGTGTCCGCAAGGCATTGCTGCACTTCAAATTCTCTCCAAATTAAAGCTTGAAAAATGTGAAAAGCGTTCGGAACCTGATGGTCTCAGTTGCACCACCAAGACTGTCCTTAACATGGATGGCGGTTCCTAGCGGCTCGATAACTGATTTCATCTCCTTTTTCTTCCTCAATTTTTGAAGTTTCTTTTTAATTTTTAATTTTTAATTTTTTGCTGTGATTATGTTCAGTGTTGGCTAAATTTGGTTTCTGATTTTCTTTTTAGGGGTGGAAAAAACTGGTTAATCAAACCGATTTGGGCATTTTTCGAATCGAACTTGAAAACCGGTTCAAGCTGAATTCTATATCGAAGCAGAATCGAATTAGTGCTTGAACTGGTTTTAAACAGGTTAACTAGTTTAGAACTGGTTTTTAAATAAAATAAAAAAATTATTTTCTATTATTTCCTTTCTTCAAATTTATTAACATCAAATCAATAATCAATAATGCTACGGACACCGGGATTCTACACCGAAATCTTACACCAACCTACGTGTCCTGTGACTCACACCAGACACGTTTTACATTCAAAATATTTTTTTTAGTGAACGGTCGTTCATCAACTATGGACGGTTGTTCACTTACATGGACTCCCGTCCATATTATATGGATGGGAGTCCATTTACTATGGACGGACGTCCCCATTTAAAGGACGCTCGATCATCAGTAAATGGAATAAAAAATATAAACAAAAATTAGGGACGACCGTTCATAGGTTATGGATAGTCGTCCCTAAAGATTGGACGGGCGTTCATATGTTAATGGATGTCCGTCCATTAACAATCATTTTTAAAAATTAAAAAACATTTAGGGACGGCTGTTCATCAACTATGGACGGCCGTCCCTTAATTTTGGACGGGCGCCGTCAAACAAGGGACGCCCATCCATAATGTAAATATAAAAATTAAAAAAAAAAAAAACTTTAGACGCCCGTCCATAGCTTGTGGACGGGCATCCCTAACGTGTGGACAGGCGTCCGTAATTAATGGACGCCCGTCCCTTATTGTGGTTTTAAAAAATTAAATAAAAACTTTGGACGTCCGTCCAATCTTTAGGGACGGCCGTCCATAACCTATGAATGGTTGTCCCTAATTTTTGTTTATATTTTTTATTCCATTTACTGATGAACGGGCGTTCTTTAAATAGGGACGCATGTCCATAGTATATGGACTCCCATCCATATCATATAATATGGATGGGAGTCTTCACTAAAAAAAAAAAAATTGAACGTGAAACGTGTCTGGTGTGAGTCACGGGACACGTAAACCGGTGTAAGATTTCGATGTAGAATCCCAGTGTCCGTAGCATTATTGATCAATAATTCCCTTGATCAAAAGTCACACGATGGTCATAGCAAAATTCAGTTTCTCAGTAACGTCAAGTAAAAATGTCAAAGCATATGATAAAAATTTATTAAAGTAATTAAGCAAGCCTGAGGCAATCAGACAACCAAAATCAGGCATTCAACTCTACATAATTCAGTCTCTCATATTATGAAATCAAGGTCAAGTAGTCACCTGTGGGCTGTGGCAATCAGACAACCAAAATCAAAAGACATGCCCAAGCCAAAAGATGGAATAAAGAGATAAATCATGTCCTGAAGACCATATCCTAAATCAAGCAAACAACAACCCATTACCACAAAACAAAATGAAACAAATAAATTCCAGAAAATAAATCAAAAGCTCAAAACCCAAAAACCGGAGAAGTTTGAAGATGCAGGGAAGCTGTCAGTCTAGTCTTCAATCTTCAGCTTCAGTCGGAACCCAGCCGATCTGGATAAGCTGCTTACTCCTTGTAAAGCTTCTCAATTTGTTTTTGACCCTCAGCCACAGACTCAGGGTCCATCCCCTGCAAAGCAACAAGGAAATTGTTAATTATCAGAAAGAACAATTTTTGCACTACAGCAACCTCATTGTATTCACATGGGAAAGTCTACTGTGAAACGAAATATCCTATAAGAACTTTCTACAACAGCACAACATTTTTGTCGTAGATTCCACCATCCTGGTTTAAAAATCTACCTGCATATTGAAATTGGACGATTGAACACAAGTTTTACATTTCAAGCACTGAATGTGGATAGCAATTTCAAAGGGGCTTCGAGCTAGTAAGCTTGTAAGACCTAAACAACCAAGAGATGATAATCATAGATCGTGCGTAAGCTCATATGAGTTGATACTTCTTGGTGTCATCTTTGTAAAGCAAGAAAAAAAAAAAAAAAAAAAAAGGTGATAGAAACAATTCTACATATACAAACTCAGATAATCAGGAGGAGGGGCAGAGATGACCCCGTTCAGAAAATATGGTCCAAAGTATTATGCAAAATATGCACCAATTTAGTGTCAGTAGAAGGCCAAGGATCCAGCAATTGATAACATAATACAGAAGAAACAACCACGATACCTTCTCTTACATATGTTGCTTGATTTCCTTCGCTTGACCTCTCACTAACTGCAGAACAAACATGAACAACAAAGATGAACATCCATATATAACAGAGCAATCTCAAAAAAGAAATAGTGAATTGTGGCAATCAGACGAGCTTGGCGAGCCGGTTTTGCCTCGTTCGAACTCGACTCGCTCTTGTAGGCGAGCCGATTCGAGCTTAAGCTCGGCTCGACTAAGATCGAACTGAGCACGAGCTTTTGACGAATCGAGCTTCGGCTTACACCCTTATTTTTTTTGTGTGTGAAAAGGCTCCTTCCGGTACAAGGAGAAAACCGGTACAAGTAACAGTGTCAGCCTCTGCGCTGCTTTGCCGTTTGGGTTATTTGAGAAATTTTCGTGGGCCCAATGTACACTTAGAGGACGCATAGTAGAGTTGTGACAGCATCAACCACTACCACGTCCATGGTAAGAAAAGAAATTTTGAAATTAGTTTATCATGGGATTAAAATTGGAATTATTAATTAAAATACTCAAATATTTGTCACTGTGAAGTAATAAAGTGGGAGTAAATGGCATGAGCTGTATTTTAATCCTAATTAGTTTTATGATAAAAATTGCAAATTGAGGGTAACTCCGTCTTTCGAGACTGGATCCTCCTATCCCAGCTCAGAGAAAAATAGTTGGGTAAACAATAGTTACTAAAAAATTATCGTACCAAAAGTGTGATTAAAAGATAAATTATATTTAGATAATAAAAAAAATTGTTTTTCTATGACCTGCTTTTATGACACATGTTGTAATTACTTGAAAATTATCATAAATCCACAGTTTAAATTCAAGAAGAGAAACATACAAACTGCTTAATTGTGTCCTTTTCAAGTTAGTTGTAGTTAAACAAGTTCACAATTATGCATTTATGATTGTACATGAAGTACACGTTTAAAATCCAAAAGCAAAAAGACGGAATTTTGCACACAATATAGAACAATTGTCTGCACGATAAGAGGCCTTTTTCATCTAAAAGGACATGTACACGAATTTTATTCATTTATTGTAGAGAAACTGTTACAAAAAACAAGGGTCTTTAGGTGCATAAATTTTTACTTAAATGGCAGACACTATTAGATTGATTAGATGAGATAATCAGGTATCTGTTCGGCCAGCATGTGTTTGCTTGTAGTAAACTTCAAATATCAAATACTAGAAATGATTCACAAAATCATTTGACCAGCCAAGTTCACATTGCAACGAGTAACATTCTTCAACTCTGCCTTACAATGAGTGTCAAAATATATTTAAAAAAAATATATAGTTTTAATGTTCCAACACCTTCGATTCAATACAAAAAAAACTACAAGCGTTCAGAACTGAATATTCTGTTAAACTTATTGTTCTCTGAACTCGGGGAAGCTCTGCTCTGCAGATAACTTATTCACCAACGCCAACCACCAACACCACCATCCAGACCTCATGGTCCTCATCTACTTTGCCACCGTCACTCCACCATCTCCACCTTTACAGCCGTAACAACCGCTCTCTCCATCATCCATAAAACAAGAAAACATCTTTGACTACGATTAAAAGGAACAATCTCAAACAGACCAAGATCCAATATCGGGTCATTTCTTGGTGAACATAATCTGCCATTATCTCTTTGATCCCTTTATATGTATGCCAGGATAAAAATAAGATTGGGAAGATGTAAAAACTATCAGGACTAGAGAGATTTGTAAACCAGAGTGCTCCACCATTATTGAAAGAAGGAACTTTCTCTGCCATGTTTGAAATCTGTCGGGGGAAGGAGGAAGTTACCAGATAACAAGAAAAAAGAAGAAGTAAAAGACCAAAGTTTAATCAATTATTTGATGGATATTATTAGAAAACAAAATCTTACCGCAAAGAAAAAACTCAAAAAAATAGGACCATTAATAAAGAGCCCTTTCAATGGAGCAAGTGGAGTAACACCATATCTGCAATTCCAAGTTACAGTTAATAAATAAAAGAATGTTTGAGAATAAAATTCAGCGGTGAAGAATGGACAAAAAAGCACATGTAAACAAACACAGTATTTTTTAATCATAAAGAAATTACAGACTAGATTCCAACTTTAATAAAATGCTCTCGTACCGATAAACCATGTAGATTAAATAGAATTAACATCTCATGAAGGTAATGCTTTCTGACAAGATCTTTTTTTTTTTTTTTTTCCCTAATTTTTTCCCCTCATGTTTCAAATGCAGCCTTCAGTTTCTAATTCACATATATTATACTTTGACGAGGCAATCACATCATCAATTTGACCAAAATCTTGTTTTAAATAGACATGTAATTCCAGATAGATAGTTCTCTAACACATATTAATTGCACTTGAGATTCTGGACCTTCTGTTTTTCTTGATAGTCATGAGCATACCTAGTTCATCCCTTACCCCAATAAAGGGCATACTACAGTCTCTGGGTGTCTGTTGGCTTGAGAGGGTAGGGGGGAGTGACAGCTGTTTCTAGTAATCTCTATCAACATTCAAACATTAAGGTGGCCTAAATAAGCAATGAAAGCCACACAACAAATTAATTGTCAAGGGTTCCCCTAAAAAGAACATGGAAAAGCTGCTTACTTCTTAAAAAGCTTCTGCATTTGGTTTTGACCCTCAGCTACACACTCAAGGTCCATCCCCTGCAAAGCAAAAAGGAAATTGTTAATGTATCAGAAAGAATAATTTTGCAGTACATCAACCCTCAATGTATTCACATGGGAAAGTCTAGTGTGAAAAAAACCTCCCACAAAAACTTTCTACAACAGCACGACATTTTTGTCGTTGATTCCACCACCCTGGTTTAAAAATCTACCTAGATATTGCAAACATGACAAACGACCACAGGTTTTACATTCCAAGCATTGAGTGTGGATGGCAATTCCAAAGGGACTTTGAGCTAGTAAACCTATAAGACCTAAACAACCAAAAGATAATTATCATAGATTGGGCGTAAGTTTATATGAGTTGATACTTCTTGGTGTCATCTTTGTTAAGGGAAAAAAAAAATAAAAAATAGGTGGTAGAAAAAAATTCTACATATACAAACTCAGATAATCAGGAGGAAGGGCAGAGAGAACCAGGTCATGGTCCAAAGTATTATGCCAAATATGCACCAACTTAGTGTCTACAGGAGGCCAAGGATCCAGCAATTGATAACATAATACAGAAGAAACAACCATGATACCTTATCTTGCATCTGTAGCTTGATTTCCTTAACTTGTCCTCTCACTAACTGCAGAACAAACATGAATAACAAAGATGAGCATCCATATATAACAGAGCAATCTCAAAAAAAGTAGTTGTGCTGGAACAAAAAACCACCATATATTAACTCAGAACATTATTCCTTCCCTTTCAGACATAGCAAGAAGGATGAACAACCTCTTGTTAGAATTGATTGGTATAAAAATGGAATTTAAGTGCCATAGTTTTCAAAACGTATATAACATGAATAAAAGACAAAACCCTTGCAGTAACAAGTACATACTCCCAAGTTCGAATTTGCTTTACGTTGAATAACCAAAAGTGGAAGTGCCGCACTCCGAACCAAAAGAGCAGTCACAGCTATGGAGGCCCACCTAATAAAATTAATAATCAATACACACATACAAAAGCAAAAAAGAAAAAAGAAAACCATGGCATCTCATAAAAACCTTGCTAGTACTATAAACTAAATAACAAAATATGACATATTGCATTTTCAAACAGCATATTCTTTAGTTATATATTTATTTTATTAAAGAAGCAAAATCCAACATATTCCACATTAACACTAAACTAGCTCAGATTATCATTGGTCATGAGAACATAAGTCTTACGTTAAGAAATTAATTAAAAATTATTAACATTCTTAGTGTGCAGTACATTCGAGTATAAACTAAACAAATGCAAATAGTTCCTTACCAGTTAAAGCCGGTGAAGTTATGCACTATATCAATAAAATGCTGCAACGCTTTGACCGGTAAGAAAGAATCAGCAGCAGCAACAGCAACTTCATTCACCGCTGGGGCCTGGTTAGCAACAGCATGTATAGTTGTATCCTTCAAAACCTGTGCCACATCGCTGATCGATTCAATGTTCTCCAACCCTTCACCAACAGTACTTGACATATACCGACAATAAGCAGAACCTGCACTTGGCGCAAGACCAAATTGCGAAATTCTTTTACCGGGGAACAAACCACCAGATCCATATGAATCGTTGAAGCAGCTTCCAAAGAACCTTGGCTGAATAAAGTTATGAATTTTTTGCTGAGACAAAGTTTCGTCAGGAGAGCTCTGTTTGCGATCCTGAACATGAGGAATGTAGCTAATTGAGGAACTATTAACTCGAGCAATAAGCGTTGCTCTAGTCGAGAGGCTACGGATAGAAGCCATTGCTACAAAAACTACAGATCCAGTACCAGAAGTGCAAAATAAAGAAATTAAACATATGAATCAAATAACATTAACATTAAGCTGAGAAAACAAAAAGTAAAATCAATAACACTTGCTTCACATCACAGATAATCAATCATAAACGACTAGAAGAGCTCCTAGTCTTAAAACCCTAAACACCAATTACAATTGAAAAACTAAATTATGAAACCTCAAAATCAACAAAATTAATAAAATTATTAGCTTCATAATTTCAAGAACAAAAAAATAAATAAATAAATTCAGGTTTAGTTGAAATAATAATCTGAACATTAAAAGATTTTGATTTGGATAGATTTGTAAAGTTAAGACATTTAACTTTCAACAGAGACACTCATTTGTAAAATTATGTAGATATATTACCGTATCAATACTGAGGGAGATTAGATGTCTCTGTGGCCTCCCAGTTGATGTTTTCACAGTGTGGCTCGTCGCCGATCGAAGAGAGAGCAAGGTTTTCGTTGGTTAAGCTCAGTTCTTTTACTTTACGGTTCGTACGCTGCTCTCTATGTAAAATTGCAAATAGAGGGTAATTCCGTCTTTCGAGATTGGATCCTCCTATCCCAGCCCAAAGGAGAACAATGGTTCAACTTGATTATTGGAGGCAATAGTTGGGTGGACAATGGCTATTGGGCCCAAGCCCAAGGCCCAAAATCCAAATATAATCCAAAGAAGATTTTTTTTTTTTATTAGAATTTTATATAATTAAATATCTCCTTCTAGAACAAATTAGACACTCCATATCATAGAAAAGAACAAATAATAATTTATTTTATTTGTTAAATTCAATTGAAAATCAAGTCATTGATAAACAATGATAGTAATCTAGGTTCTGAAGACTTATGTTAATGTTATATAAATCCAGAGTATTATATATACATAGCTAGGTGTTTGTTGTAGTTAATTAAGCTTAAATTCAAAATCATTGAAGTTTCATGCTCCTCCATATCTTAAGGAAGATAGTTGAGACTTGTGCCCTGAAAGATTTTTCTCATTCAATCCTTGCTTCCATCACACTAATTTTGTGGAAGATTGTTCTATTTGATTCTTGTATGTCTTAGAACAAAAATTGAGATCGAGCCTCTATATCTATTTTTTTCGACTACATTTGACTTTTTTTTTCCTTTAATTTTGTTCTCTTTTGTATCACACACCATAAAATTCAATGACACAAGAATATACTTTCCATGATTACACAATGAAATTGAACATATAGAAATTAAATCTCAATTAAATATATATACTTCATTTACACAAAATGATAAGTGGAAACTTTGGTTTAAGTGTTGATGAATGCAAAGATGTTGAGGTAGAAGACAGGGTTCTGGATGAATGCGAAGACGTTGAGGTAGAAAAGAAGAGGTTCCGGCAGAACTCTCCTATGAATTGCTGTTGATTATGCATTTTGTTAAAGTGCAAACATTTGCACATGTATATATATATATATATACCAGCTTCTGTTATTAACCACTATAATCAAATAGATATTTAATTGAGCTCAAGGAGCTGAAAATCACCTTTTCATTCACACTTTCCAGAACTAATTTCACTCCAGCTATAAAATGAACAATGCTCTCATATTGTACAAATGTCACTTTTCTTTTTCTCCGGAAGATCAAGTACAGACGGATAGTAAGAACTTAAATCAGAATTAATTTTCATATAAAAGGATTAGAAAAGAATTCAAATATTGTCTTTGAGGAGTATTTAATATTTAAGTAAATCTGATTATGATCTAAATCTTCCCAATTATGGGAATTTGAGTCACTGAAGTAGCCTTAAAAAAAAGAGTCGAAACTTTCAGAGAGGAGATGGGCCTAATTTTTTATATAACATCGCCGAGTATTTTGCTTATTGTTCTTGTCATTGTATTACAATTTTCGTCATTTTCAAGTTTAGTTGTTGTTATGCATTTAATTATGATAGTAAATGAAGTAAACGTTTAAAATCCAAATGCAAAAAGAGGAAATTTTATAAAGGAGTCATACACAATATAAAAAGACCTATAAACGAATTTTATTGTACAGAAATTGTTATAGAAAATAAGGGTTTTAAGGTGCATAATGTTGACTTCAATGGCAGACACTATTAGAACGAGTTATTAACAAAGTTTAAAACAAGAATGTCATTAGATCAGAATCAGATCATCGGGTCCGTATAATTTCCAGGAAAACTAGCCAAGTTCAGCCTTGCATTGACTGACATTCTTCAACTCTGCCTAACAATGAGTGACAAAATATATTAAAAAAAATAGTTTTATTGTTTGAACACCTTCGATTCAATACGAAAAACTAAAAGCATTTAAAACTGAATATTCTGTTAAACTTACTGTTCTTTGAACGCCGGGAACCTCCACAGATAACTTATGCTACCCCTGCAAAAATCCCTATATGTTTTGGGAGGAAAATTCTCCATTCATTTGACAACATTATTAGCAGTAAAAGTTTTTGAGCTCTCTTTCTCTACCTGGGCACTATCTCCTTATATCAATATCTAATATTAAAAATAACTAACTTGAAAAGATGATACAACAAATTTAACAGTGGTATCACTTCATCATTTGTAGTCCAGGTGGGTTTAACTTATGGTACTCAAAGATCAACTTCACCTCTTCTTGTTTTTCTTCCTTCCCTTTACTTGTTTTTCTAGATTTTTTATCCTCTGACTGAGGACTGCAGATGAAGATATTCTTTCCTCTGTAACCTTTGATTGTTCAGTACGTGATGAAGCTGCAGCCTGCCGTGCAGCTTTTGCTTCAGCGACTTGCTTGATTGCAGAGAACAGAGAGAAAGAAGGTTGCGGAGTAGTAGTTGGTGGAGCCACAGGTATTTGAGGAACACCTAAGAATTTCTTGACCCCCGGAGCTTTAAGAACTGACGAGAATCAAATACAATAGAACAAAAGTGAACATTTTGCAAGGTCATAATCAAGTTCCCCACTAAATTGACAGAGGGAAAAACAAATAATAGAAACAATCTATTGGTGTAAGTAACGTTTTTCTTGTCACTTTCACAGAAATAATAACGGTATTGAATATCAATTAAATGGGTTATAAGTTGGAAAGTAGAAAATCTCACCTAGTCCATACACGAGAGAAAACAGGTTTGATGTAATCCAATAACAAAATATTGCCTGCAAAGTCGAATACAACCATTCATTGATCGTTGGAACTGACATTAAAACAATATTGAGATAAAACAAGATAATATGGACAAAGCTATGTACTAATCCCCACTTTTTTTATCAACAGTTGTGAATATTAAACTGCCAAGAAAAATAAATAAAAGGGCAACTTGAGATCGTTTACTTTTATCTTCAATGTTTCTATTAGCAAGGAGATCAATCTAATATAACCATTTTCAATAACTGAAAGCCTTGCTAGCAAAAGCCTATGTAGCTTTGGAACACTTAAAATGGGTGGATTACCTGTGGGAAACCCATTGTTAATGGAACTGAAAGAGCAGCAAATCCCCTTGAAACATTTTTTACAATGCCAGCTGTAGGATTTCCTTCCATTCCGTCTTGTGTGTTGCACTAAGAAAGTCCAATATAAGTTAATTAAATCACAATAAAAAATATGAGCATGGCAAAACTGATAAAACAAATATAGTCCACTACTTAACTGTAGGTTTGAAGTCCAACCATGACTATCAGTACAAAATTATGCCTTAATTTAGTTCAAACTTGTGTGTCAAAACAGAGGCCTACCTCTACCGTAATCAAGAAAGTCAGCCCACATAAGATTGGGAAGATGTAAAATTCATCAGGACTAGAGAGATCAGTAAACCAGAATGCTCCACCAGTTTTGAAAGAAGGAACTTTCTCTGCCATGTTTGAAATCTGTTCGGGGGAGGAGGAAGTTACCAGATAACAAGAAATAAAAAGTAAAAACCAAGTTTAATCAATTATTTGATGGATATTATTAGAAAACAAAATCTTACCGCGAAGAAAAAACTCATAAATATAGGAGCATTAATAAAGAGCCCTTTCATTGGAGTGAATGGAGTAACACCATATCTGCAGTTCCAAGTTACAGTTAATAAATAAGAATGTTTGGGAATAAAATTGACAGGTGGAGAATGGACACAAAAGTACATGTCAACATACACAGTGTTTTTGAATCATAAAGAAATTACAGACTAGATTCCAACTTTGATAAAATGCTCTCATACTGAAAAACCATGTAGTTTAAATAGAGTTGACATCTCACGAAGGTAATTACATGTATTTCCAGATAGATAGTTCTCTAACACATACTAATTACATTTGAGATTTGGACTTTTTTTTTTTCTGATAGTTAGAAGCATTCCTAGTTCATCCGTACCCCAGTAGAGGGCATCTTACAGTCTCTGGTTGTATGTTGGCTTGAAAGGGTAGGGGGGAGTGACAGGTGTTTTCTAGTAATCTCTATAACATTCAAACCATTAAGGTGGCTATAACTAAATAAGCAATGAAAGCCACCCAACAAATTAATTGTCAAGGGTTCCCATAGACAGAACATGGAAAAGTGCTTACTCCCTAAAAAGCTTCTGCATTTGTTTTGACCCTCGGCTACAGACTCAGGGTCCATCCCCTGCAAAGCAAAAAGAAAATTTTTAATGTATCAGAAAGAAGATTTTGCAGTAATCAATCCTCACTGTATTCACATGGGAAAGTCTAGTGTGAAACAAAAATCTCCATAAAAACTTTCTACAACAGTACAACATTTTTGTCTTAGTTCCACCATCGTGGTTTAAAAGTCTACTAGATATTGCAAACATGACGAATGCCCAGAGTTTTATATTTCAAGCATTGAGTGTGGATAGCAATTTCAAAGGGACTTCGAGCTAGTAAGCTATAAGACCTAAACAACAAAGTGATGTTATCACAGATTCGGCATATTTAGATACTCCTTGATGTCATCTTGTAAAGCCAAAAAAAAAAAAAAATGGTGATAGAAAGAATTCTACATATACAAACTCCTATATCAGGAAGAAGGGCAGAGTAACCCAGGTCAGAAAATATGGTCAAAGTATCACCAAAATATGCACCAACTTAGTGTCTGTAGGAGGCCAAGATCCAGCAATTGATAACATGATAACATAATACAGAAGAAACAACCATGATACCTTATCTTGATCTGTTGCCTGATTTCGTCCAGGTGTGGTCTCAGTAACTGCAAAGCAAACATGAATGACAAAGATGAGCATCCATATATAACAGGGCAATGTACAAAAAGAAATAGTGTGGTAGAACCAAAAACAACAATTATTAACTCAGAACACTATTTCTTCCCGTTCATACATATCAAGAAGGATGAACACCCTTTGTTAGAACTGATTGGTTTAAAAACGGAATTTCAGTTCCATAGTTTTAAAAATGTATATCACATGAATAAGAGACAAAACCCTTGCAGTAACGACTAAAGTACATACTGTCAGTTTTGAGTTGCTTTAAGTTGGTTAATCAAAAGTGGAAGTGTCGCGCTCCGAATCAAAAGTAGTCAGAACTATGCAAACCCACCTGTAAAATAAGAATTAATACAGAAATACGAAATAGAAAAGAAGAAAAAAAGATCCACGGCATCTAAAAAACTAATAACAAAGTATGACATAATGCATTTCTTAAAGGAGCAAAATCCAACATATTTCAAATTAAAACTAAACTAGCTCAGATTATCATTGGTCATGAGAACATAAGTCATACGTTAAGAAATTATTTAACATTATTAAGATTCTTAGCGTGCATTCCATTTGAAATAAACTAAACAAATGTAAATAGTTCCTTACCAGTTAAAGCCGGTGGAGTTATGCAATATACCAATAAAATGCTGCAACGCTGCGACAGGTAAGAAAGAATCAGCAGCAGCAACAGCAACTTCATTCACTGCGGGGCCTGGTTAGCAACTGCTTCTATGTTGTATCCTTCAAAACCTCTGCCACATCACTCATCAATTCAATGTTTTTCGACCCTTCACCAACCGTAGTTGACATATACGAGCAATAAGCAGAACCGCACTTGGCCCAAGAACAAATGCGAAATCTTTTACCAGGGAACAAACCACCAGATCCATATGAATCGTTGAAGCTGCTTCCAAAGACCTTGGCTGAATAAAATTTGAATTTTTTGCTGAGACAAAGTTTCGTCAGGAGGGTTCTGTTTACGATCGTGATCACGAGGAATGTAGCTAATTGAGGAACTATTAACTCGAGCAATAAGCGTTGCTCTGGTGGAGAGGCTACGGCGACAAGCCATTGCTACAGAAACTACAGCTCCTCTACCAGAAAAAAAAAAATAAAGAAATTAAACATATGAATCAAATAACATTAACTTTAAGCTGAGAAAACTAAAAGTAAAATCAATAACACTTGTTTTACATCACAGATAATCAATCATAAACGATAAAAGAGCTCCTAGTCTTAAAACCCTAAACACCAATTACAATTAAAAATTAAATATGAGCCTCAAAATCAACTAAATTAATAAAATTATTACTTTATAATTTCAAGAACAACAAAAAAAAAAAAAAAAAAATCAGGTTTAGTTGAAATAATAATCAGAAAATAAAAAGATTTTTATTTTGATAGATTTCTAAAGTAGAGTTATTTAACTTCGAGCAGAGACATTGATTTCTAAGAGTGTGTAGATAGCTTACCGTATCAGTACTGGAGAGATTATACGTCTCTATGGCCTCCCAGTCCCTGTTAATGTTTTCACTGAGTAGCGCGTTGCCAATCGAAGAGAGAGCGAGCAGGGCTTTAGTTGGTTAAGTGCGGTTCTTTCACTTTACGGTTCGTACGTTGCTCTCCAAGTAAAATTGCAAAGGGACGGTAATTCCGTCTTTCAAGATTGGATCCTCCTATGATCCTATCCCAGCCCAAAGGAGAACAATGGATCAGCGCGATTATTGGATGCAATATTTAGCTGGACAATCGCTATTGGGTCCAAGGCTCAAGGCCCAAAATCCAAATAAAGATTTTTTTCCATTTTTGTATAGAATTTTATATAATTAAATATCTCCTTCTAGAACAAATAATATTTTATTTTATTTTATTTGTTAAATTCACTTGAACTCAAGTCATTGATAAACTGTGATAGTAATCTAAGCTCTGAGGGCTTATGTTAATATTATATAAATCCAGAGTTTAATTCATGAAGAGAAACATACTTATTAATTGCTAAATTGTGGCCTTTGAACCAAGTAACGTAACAAAGGATTTGATGGAGATCAGAGCCAACTAGAAACTCTCCAATGAACAACAATAGTGTTTATTATTTTTATGCGTGAAAAAATAGGGCTGACGTGGAACCTCGCCAGTAAAGGATGGTCACAGCTTAGAAGGGTTATGTGTCATCTAGGTACGGCCACGTCGTGCCTAGCATAAGTGATATGGCTCTTGTCAATACAGTAGGTGAGTGTCAGGGCAACAAGTGGCTGGAAATCGCCCACGTATCAAAGAACTGTTTTAGTCAAGGAAATCTCTCGAGCAAGTGACTAATGGGACGCAAAGAAAGAATTTGCACGGCACCTACCCACTTGCAGCTTTTATAATCATTACCTTGAACTCTCCTACTATAAATAGAAAATTTTCCTCTCATTTGTGGAGGATTAGTTAATTTTACTCTGAAATAGCTTTCTCTCTTGTATTCTCTCTCTAAACTGTAACTCAGCTCGCTGAACGCGATCAAACCCTCTCTTTTATTAATACAATAGCAGTGGACGTAGGATTCGCTTTTGAGCATCTGAACCACTTTAAATATTGCTCTTCACCTTTTATTTAATTCAATCACCTCATATCACGTGTGACTTCTAAGTATTTTTAGCATTTTACATGTGCGAGTAGTTAGTGTCAAAATCAAGCATAAACAGTTTGACGCTAGAAGGAGGGTCTGATTTAGTATCTACTCTTCATCAGAAAAATCTCTGACTAATCGGTCTCACAACAGCAAATGGCTCGCGATTTTAAATCTGAGCAAACCAATTATGGCAATGAAGAAATCCCCCAAGTACTGGAGGACACTTCTCCCGAAATGTCGCCAGTCCAGCAGAATATCATGAGAGACATTTCTTCAAGCTCGCGACTCGATCCAGCTGTCATAAGTTACTTGGAAAGGCTCAATAATACTCTTCAAACGGTCAGCCAAAGGCTAGATTGATTGAATCAGGTCGTGCCACCACAAAAAACACTGCAGGTCGCATGAAAGCACGAAAAATGGTGAAAGCCTATACCAATTTGGTGTTTGTGGTTAGAGATGGTCTAATCAATCATAAACGACTAAAGGAGTTCCTAGTCTTAAAACCCTATACATCAATTACAATTGAAAAAACAAATTATGAATCTCAAAATCTACAAAAATTAATAAAATTATTAATTTTATAATTTAATTAAAAAAAATCAGGTTTAGTTGAAATTATAATAAAAAAATTAAAAGATTTTGATTTTGATATATTTTTAAAACTTACCTGTATCAATGCTGAGAGAGATTAGATGTCCCTATAGCCTCCCAGTTAATGTTTTAACTGAGAAGCTCGTTGCCAATCGAAGAGATAGTAGGGTTTAAGTTGGTTTAAGTTTGGTTCTTTTACTTTACAGTTCGTACGTTGCTTGCTGTCTACGTAAAATTGCAAATTGAGGGTAATTTCGTCTTTTGAGATTAGATCCTCCTACCCCAGGTCAAAGGAGAACAATGGTTTAACACTTGAGTCTTGAAGTCAATAGTTAGATGGACAAAGGCTATTGGGCCCAAGGCCCAAAATCCAAAATATAATCCAAATAAGATTTTTCATTTTTGTATAGAATTTTATATGATTCATTATCTCCTTCCATAACAAATTAGACACTCCATATCATATAAAAAAACAAATAAATGCATTCAGTATTTAGAAATAATTTATTTTATTTTTTAAATTCACTTGAACTCAAGTCATTGATAAATCTATGATAGTAATTAATCTAGGTTCTGAAGGCTTATGTTAATATAAAGGGAGAATAACATTTTCCCACCCAAGGTTTGGAAAAATAACATTTTCCCACCCAAGGTTTGGCAAAACGACATTTTCCCACCCGTCAAATTTCAAAATGACACTTTCCCACCCTTTGTTAGGTTTTGTTAGTGTCTTCTATTAATATTTGATTGAAAAGATGGAAATACCCTGAAATAGTTTATTATAAATTAAAATTTAATTAAGTCAAAGTTTTTATTCGATTATTTATTAGTTTAAGTGTTAAAAAAAAAAAAATTCTTTTGTTTATTAAATTAATTAGGAATGTTGATTTTTTATATTAATTAGCAAAAATGAAAAATATTATAAATATAGTAGATTATTGAATAATAGTGATGGGATATTGATGACATTATAAATAAATATTTAACTTTAAACAATTTCATAGCATTACTCCTAACTTTTTAGGCGGGATTAACTATTTTTTTTTTACTTTTTTGACTTTTTAATATTTGACTATTTGGCTAATTAAAAAATAATAAAAAATTTATAAAGTCAAATATTTAAAGGTATTTTTGTCTTTTCAGTAAAATATTAATGAAAAACATAACATAACCTAAAGAAGGGTGGGAAAGTGTCATTTTGAAACTTAAAGGATGGGAAAGGGTCGTTTGGCCAAACCTTGGGTGGGAAAATGTTATTTTCCCTAATATAAATTCATTGAGATAATAAAATTCATGAAGATAAGAGCCAAACAGAAATTCTCCAATGAAAAACAATAATATTTATTATTATGAAGTAATATGTAACTCAAGGCTTTATTAATTCATGACATAATATTTGTTCTTAATCGAGAAATTATTCAGCAAACGAAGCATCACTATGCGTGGATCCTCGTAGAATAGCATTTATTCGATTGCTGAGCTCTTGGACTTCTCTTTACGCCCTGCAAGAGAAACCTAAGTTAAAATACAACCTAAACATCATACTTTAACCATTAGTGTAAAAAGAGATGGAGTTAATTACTTGGAGCAATCGAAACTAGGAGAAACGGCAGGAAGCTTCACAGAAACTCCACATTTTTGTGGAAGGCCACTGATAAGGGAATAATCAATCCCTTTATAAGTTGGGGCGGCCTGCTCAATGCACTGGCAGATTGTACGTCGAGCTGTCTTGTCATTTGAATACCCCTTCAGGTTATTGACTCCTAAACAACAAGAATTATGTGGTGTTGCTTCGGTTCTCATTAGGTAAGAAAGGCAAGGGTTTAACTGTAGTACTACGAAGTCACACGTGGGCGCAATCCCCATTGCAGAGCTAGAAATCAGTGAAAGAGTGGCGATGAAAACAAGAATCAGCCGAGACATTTTTGTTGATTTATTGCAGAGATCACCTAATTCTTATACTATACGTTGCTGAGTGATGAGGCGAAGGGAAAATCGTGTATATATATACATAGGTTGGTGTTTATTGTAGTTAATTAAGCTTAAATTCATAATCACAAATGTTTCATGCTCTTCCATATCTTGAGGATGATAGTTGAGACTTATGCGCTGAATTTTTTTTTCTCATTCAATCCTTGCTTCCATCATACGAATCTCATGAATGTAAAAACCAGAAATAAATATAAATGAAGTTGAATATCACCCTGTTCTATTTGGTTCATGTATGTCTTAGAACGAAGATTGAGATTGAGGTCGAAACTTTAAATCTCCTTATTTCAACTACATTTGGCAATTTTTTTTCCTTTAATTTTGTTCTCTTTGTATCATACATTGTAAATTCAGTGACATAGAAATATACTTTCTATGAGTACAAAATAAAAGTGAACATATAGAAACTAAATCTCAATTAAATATATATACTTCATTTATACAAAATTATAAGTAGAAACTTCGGTCTAAGGTGATAATCCTGCCGATGAATGTGAAGATGTTGAGGTAGAAGACAGGGTTCCGGGTGAATGCGAAGATGTTAAGGTAGAAGAAGGGGTTTTGGCAGAACCCTCTGGTGAATTGCGACACAATGGACACGTGGCATTCATTTTGAGCCATTCGTCAATGCAATCAGCATGGAAGTAATGTTCGCACTCGGGTATGGTCCTCAAGCTTTCCTTAGGTTGATACTCAGATAAGCATATTGGACAAGTGTTGTCATTAGGCTTAGGCAGTCGCCCACTTTCACCTAACAAAGTTTTTGGATAAGACTCTATAGTAGGTTCGTCAAGACCTGTCAGAATCACCGCCCGTTGTGGTTGCGCAATTGAGTTGGACAATTCGGCATTGAGCAGGTGGCGCTGACTATTATAATTTCTAGCCCTTCTACAGAGAAGACATCCGAGCCCAATAATGCATAACGCCCCCGGTATTCCAACTCCAATGATTATGCCATATTTGGTTCCCCTTGAAAGACCTAGACATCAAAATCAGTCTCACCAAAATATGAGTTAAAATGTCTGATTGTAAGAAAAGTATTTTTTGATTGAAAAGACTAAACTTTGAATGTCCAATAAAAGTTGGCCTAGTTTGTACTTTGCGATTAGCTAGTGTATCATCTTGAGTTTGGTGGAAATCTACTGCTCGCTAAGGCCAATTGAATGGCCACATGGTCAAATTACATTGGCCCTAAGTGATTGGGCCTGCATGTTTTTCAAAAGAAAACGATGCGGTACCAAAAGATATGGACATTGGAACCACTGCGAACCTCTAGCCAATTGTTTTTGACTTCTACCATTGATCGTGCTGTACTGCTGTTTTTTATCAAACACTGTTCATTGCTTATGCTAAATTCAACCTAACTAAAACCGTTTAATCATGCTTAATCTGCAAGTACAACCCCAAAAAAAAAAAAAAGATGTGAAAGATTTAATGACATACCATTGGAGCCTGAAGGATGGGAGCATTCAACCTCCAAACCAGAGTCATTCTTGAACCCACAAGCCTCACCACGCAGTTCACAGCGTTCACAAGAGGGAGAACTCCACATTAACCGTAAGCTGTCTTCAAGATCAGACCAAAACCCCCAAAACGGAACCGAGACCGTCGAAGTTTCTTCACACGAATTCGAAGGCAACCTCGACTCATCATAAAACATGGATGGCAAAGCTATGACCGTGTTGTTCTCATCACTGAGACAACTGATAGGTCTATACCGATTAGTTGCTAACGTGGTGTTTGTTGAACAATTGAAAAACGTGAAGTTGCTATAAGAATATGGATAGAAGGGAGAATCAAAAGAACTTATCCCGTTAAGGTACTGTTTTGGGAGACAGTTTTGTGGGTCTTTGATCAATATGGTTTGGATATCGTAGTCGATATCTTGGACAACATACGCCCTTGATTCTATAGTGAGAATTGTTTGGTTCTGGAAATTGCAACGTAGACCAAAACCTGGATAGCCACAACGAAAACGAGAAGTGACGTCGCCTCGAAATCGATTTCTGACTTGCTGAAAAGGGAATTTAATATTTACGTTTCCACAAGATGTTACCGGACAGTTTTGAGCGCTTGTTGCAATGAGAGGAAGTAAGAATAAGAGAGAAAACAACCAGGAGAGAAAGGGTTGCAGGGGAACCATTTTTGTTTGGTGGCCTTGTGAAAACCGTACTACTCGTGTATGAAAAGCAATGTATTATCATATCATAAACCACTTTGTCTGCTATTTAATTCTCCATTACTTTATTAATTAACTTAATTAGTTATTTTAATTGATGTGAGATTCAGAAGAGAAACATTCTACGTTTGTTTTAGGTATCGCGAGACTCGTGTGGTGGCGTGATGGACTGGTGGGCTGGTGGCCTATCAAATGGCAGTCAAAACTTTTAGTCAGTGACATTTTTTTTTTTTTTTTTTAATATAAGATCATGGCATTTTATTGCCATAAGTCCATCTATATTTGGTGATCTTCATATGCTTGGAATATTTTTGCCTGCTTGTCTCAATTTTTGTTGGCTTTTTGTCATTAATTTTATTGAACTTGCTGGGTTACCAATAATAATGAAGTTTATTGGAGATTATAGATTATAATTTGAGGCGAATTAGGGAAAGTCAAGCTCTTATTAACTGGTCAAAGATTGTCTTTATATATATATATAATCAATATCGACTTTATAAATTAATAGGGCAATTATCAAAATTTTGAATTTTGACCTGAATATAAAAAATAGTCATTGGTAATCTATCAATTTTCAAGTTTCATACTTGTCCTTAATTAATTCCTTCGTTTTTTTTCTGAATTGATTGAATAAAGTAGTTGAGTACATATATAATATATATTCACTTGTCAACTTCTGATTTGGACTATTAATGAGACCATCATAATTACAGTCACAAACAGCTAATTATCTTGACAAATTCAACTTCAAAAATTAATTGAGGGTAGCTTCCAGGTCTATCCATGCGTTTCATATGTAACTACTATAATTTTGTGTTACAGTCAAAATCCCGTCATGAACCGACATCAGAAGTCGACGTTCAAACGCATGGTAGGGCAAGATGATTGTTATATAAACCATTGATTAATTTATAAATCTCTTTCTTCATAATATATATGCCTTCAATTTCTTTGCTTGTAAATTACAATAAGAAGACTGATTCAAAACAGTTTATAACTTATTATTAAACTTAACCTAAATTTGAATGAGTCTATAAGACGGCAAATTCTGACAAATTATTCAACTATACTAAACTCTTATGTACAACCCATATGGTCTTCTATGGAACAGACGAAAATGAAGAGGGGGACGAATGCGAAGAAGTTGACATAGAAGGTGTTACTATATCAGAGCCTTCTGGTGAATTGCGACACAGTGGGCATGTTCCATTAATTTTAAGCCATTCGTCTATGCAATTCGCATGGAAATAATGGTTGCATTCAGGGATTGTCCTCAATGTTTCCTTGGCCTGGTACTCACTGAGGCAAATTGGACAAGTGTTGTCATTTGGGTTCGGTAATCGTCTGCTTTCTCCGAGCTTCGTTTTGGGGAATGACTCTATGGTTGGTCTGTCGAGACCCGTCAATACAACCGGCCGTTCTGTGAGACTAAAGGAAGGGATCAATCTGTTGTTTAAGCGGCGGCGCCCGTAATATTGAGCCCTCACCTTGCCACACAAGCAACATCCTAGTCCAATGAGGCACAATAGTCCTGGAATTGCTACGCCTACTATTATCCCATACTTGGCGCCCCTTGGAAGAAAACCTGGAAATTAATAAAATAAAATCCAAGTTTTAACAAATAATTCAATAAGTATTCATTAAATTAAGAGTATCAACCCAGCAATAGCGATCTAGATCTAATATAATATCAATTGAGGGATATTTCTTCTTTCGATGAAGAAATGATAACAAATATAAAATAAAAATTGACCATATGCATATGAAAATATAATCGAAGCTACTGATAACTATGTTCTTACCTACTTACCAGTAAACAACTGAATAGTCATTTTCATGACATTATCAGTTGACCATGTTAACAAATGGAACAAAGTCGTGGTTCTATTCATATACAAAATTCTCATCCGTTCTATACGCTGGCGTAACATCTAAGTTCTGCAAAACTTTCCACAGAGCCATGATTTTCTGGATATGTATCATGAGAATATTGGGTCGTTCGTTTTATTATTTCATACCATATTCTTTATCCTATTCCCAAAATAATTATTTGTTTAATTATTTAGGAAATACTATTATATTTTATTTAATTATTAAATTTATTAATTTACTTAAACACCCCTAGAAAAAAGTTTAAAAATTAACGAAAACACCATCATCCATCCATAGTTGTCAGATTCCGAAAACCACTATCGGTAGTAGTCAGAATCTGTCACAACAGTATAGAAACGATCGAAACTGGTTAGTAATTTGCCGATTTGACCTTTTCTGACCATATCCACAGTGGATCTAGTCAGAAAATACCATATCTGACCGTTAGGGACGACCATTCTAATGGTCAGATCTGGCCTTTTGCTGTCGTCTATGATCAGATCTAGCCGTAGATCTAACATTTTTCGTCCAAATTCGTGGTAGATCTGGTCAGAAAATGCTATACCGAAGCACGATCGGTCAGATCCGACCGTTTTGCGTCGTAACGCCATTTTTCGGCCAGATTCCAATGGTGGTGGCCGAAATCTGGCACTGTAGATGGGTGGGGGTACTTTTATCATTTTATAAAATTTTTATATATTAGGGTGTTTAGTTAAATTAGCAAACCTATGGAGTTTTTTTGTTAATCTTTAAATTTTACCTTGTAATAATCACTAAATTCAACTACCCAATATTATTCCCAAAATTTTATCCAAAATAATAAACCAAACGGACCCTTGAATATTCTATTATGTTAATAATGCTAGATCTACAAACTTCTCTTATAACCTTTTGTTACAATCTCTGACATGACAACTCGTTAAAACTAACTCGTAAATGGACAGGTGAGATCTATAAAAGTAGGTAGAGCTTATTTTACGAGCTGATAAATGACAACTTTTGACATGACAGTTCATAATTGATTAGCTTATAAATAAATAAACGAGATCTATACAAACAGATAAACCCATTTTATGAGCTGATAAATGATGAACTGCTTATTGTGAAAGAAGGTGGTGAGATTGAACCTATTATGCAACTAGACAATAGACTGTTTGATTCCTTTTAATTGCTATCAGTTAAAATAAATGGTAACTTTCTGGATACCAGCAGCTAGCGCTGTTTGACCACAAAAAAAAAAATTCTAATAAATATGGGATCGGATCTCTAGTTTACGTTTAAAATTTCACGTGGCGCCATCAGAAAGAACCGACTTTGTGATCGCGCCATTATATATATGGACGAAAACGATCCCTGATCTATTTGATTATGACTCGGGAACCAATAAAACCATCCTTATTCAAGTTAACGTTTATGACTTGTGTTTCGATTTTGATCAAACACTGTTCATCTTCTCCTCCACGAATAATCTAGATTACCAAGTCTTTATTATTATAATTTCTAACTTTCTACATAAAAATAAATTAAAAAAAACTGATCGGGTTAAGGTAATTGAAATACAGTAATACATACCCGGTTTAGTGGGAATATGGGCGCATCCAATATTCATATCCTCACCCTCAAATTTCTTGAAACCACAGACCCCACCTCGGTCTTCACATGATTGACAATTAGGCTCGCTCCATGTCAAGAGAACTCCATCTTCAAGATTGGACCACCTTGGCCACAGAACTGGAAACAAGATGGTGGAAATATTCGAACAATAACTCGATAATGATAACCCAGAGTCATTATAACGAGAAGCTCGTATAGCCATGGTCGAATAATTTCCTCCGCTTAAACAATCAATATACCTTAACCCGCTGACTTCCGGTATCTGATCGGACGAACAGTTTAAAAATGTGAAGTTTTCAAGATGGGCTACATGTTCAAAGGGAGAACCCGAAAGGCTAAAAGAGTGATCAAGGAATCTTTTAGGGAGGCAATGATCGGGATCAATGATTGATAGAGTTTGTGATAGGTAGTCAATGTTTTGGACAATGAATCCATTTCCCGATGAGTTGGGGAGGTGGATAAATACTTCACTCATTTTGCATGAAAGCTCAAAGCCTGGGTACCCACAACGTTCGAGTTGATCGGTGAGCCGGAAAGGAAAAATAATTGGTCCACTGCCATCGCACCAACCCGGGCAAATTCGAAGGCTGCTGGTTGCTAAACGGAGAAAGGATGAGAAAACAAAGGAAAAGGAGAAGAAGTAGAGTTGAGAGGCAACCATTTTTTTTTTTTTTTTTTTTTTTTTTTTTTTTAAAGTTAATCAGTGACTGACTACAAAACTAAACCTTGAGCGCCAAAAGGGTTTCACCGCGCTGGATTAATAGGCAGCAACATGGGAAACGAGGGGTCTACAGTCAAAAGAATTATCATAGTTAATTATAATTAACTTGAGTTTAACGTTTGATATGGAGTGGTAATTAATATAATATATCTTATAATTTTGTTTTTGAGTGTCGTGGCACTTATCTATTGGCAAGACTAAACTTGTAACCAAGCTGTAATTTCCATCAGATGACTTGCCTTTTTGTCTTCTTCAACAACCCATCTAGGAAACTTGGAAGCAATTCGGTCCCTGGTCAGTGGTCTAATATAAGCATTAATTTGATCATGAATTATACGTTTCTGCTTTGTTTAACGAATTCATCTGCTTAAAATTTCAACCAAGAAGACAATTCAAACTGTGTTTTTTTGGTCCATCGATCTACTTCTTCTCACTCGGTCAGCTAGCCATCTAGTCAAAACCGTGTTGAAAGAATTTTAGTATATTCCAATCTAGCTTTGAACTGCATGCAAGTCAGGAATGGAATTGAATGAAATGTGGAATTAATGCAATGACGACTTAGATTAAAATGATTCCACCAAGTTTGCTCTGCCATTTAAATGACCAAATTTCACCTAATTGTGTGTATGGCTGTTAAATTCACAGTTGATTCATCGGTGCGGCTTCTTAATATAAACTTTTGGCGTTTATAGGTGGATTTTACCTGAAATGACAACAAGATTCGTGAGGCTGAGCCACACTGCAGCACTTGAGATGC